CTTTAAGAAGCAAAGCTGAGCATTTCTGTTTTAAGCTCCAAGACATTTTGTTGTTGTTGTTGTTGTTCAGGCCCCTTTTCAAAATCTTTCTGCCTAAAGGTGCTTTCACACTACACTTTTGAGTATGCAAAAAATATATATTTCTGTTTGACATTTACATCTTCTATTGATCAAACATCTTTATGAATTCACAGGTCACCAAATTTTGATACACAGCAAAAGACGAATCTTCAGCACATATGCGTGCGTTCTCGGTCTCCCATATTTGCATGCATATGAATAGAAGCGAATGGAAAACAAAGTCGAGTGTGATCGCACCTAACAACAGGAAATGATTCAATAAGATGGCCATCAACACTGCACTCTGTTGAATCCGCACATGTATTTTCAGTACTTCAGTACTGCATGAGTATCTTCCCTTTGTGCAAATTTTATTCTAACAAACACAAATCACATCACACACTAACATGTCACTCGAATTAAAACACCAGGTTTATGTTCACAGTTTTGTGCTGCTGATATTTGCTGAAGTGTATGATTCAAATCCATATAACCTGCAGATTTCATGCCATATCATTCTGTACCACAATATACAATCTGTAATGTTCATTGCTAAGAAATCATCTGCCAGGAACATCTCCCTGTATAGTTTCTCAAGTCACATACTGTTTGTTTTTTTAATATTTATATTAATAATAATAAATCACAGGACATGACTAAACCTGATTTCACTTTTCTTGTGATAAAATTTTCTATGGTCTTATTTCATACAAATGTTGCTGGAATTATGTAAATAATGTGTTGATGTCATGAAACAACAGCCTTTCCAAGAGCAACCAGTCTATGCCAGTAGGGAGCAGCAGTGCCACATCTTTGGCTAAAAACTTGGATTTACTGTACAACAAACATATATTGTGCAAATGGAGGAAGGCAGCATGAATTGGCCTCAAGCCTTCATCTCTGGTATGTGTGTGGCTGTCAAAACCTAATGAGACTTGTCATAAGTTATAGAAAATTCAAAGCTAAAGGGAAGCACTCACAAAAAATATGAATCCATTTAATCAGTCAATCAATCTAGTCTCAAATATTCAATGAGGAACGTGTATATGTCTGCATTCACTTTCTTTATGGAGACAGTGGCAAAAATTAACAAACAAAAAAATCCTGTAGAATTACTTTGACCTCTGAAAGTAGCCTATATACATTCAACAGATTTATTTGTGTGATAAAATCTCTTTGAAAACCATATACACATTCAATATAGCCTATGTCAATATATTAATTTATTATTTGGGTTAATTATTCCATTTGCAATAATGATCACATTTAAAATAAGAAATCCTGTTCTATTTTAATTCAGTTCTATTTACTCTCCATATATATAATTTTATTTAATTTATTTTTTTGTGATCCATCGCATTCGATTCTAATCTTTAGAATCCGTTCCAAAACATTTCACTCTGGTTCGTCTGGTTCGGATTTGTTCAAAACACTGATGCCTTGTCCAAATACCCACACTTGCGGTCTTTGCACTTGACCACTTGACTACTTCTATGACGTATTTCCTGTATTTGGTCCAAGTGAGCATGAAGACCACAAGTGTGTGTAGTTATTTTTATTTTCAATACTTTGCATTTTAAAATCAACTTCTAAATGTCTGTTCAGTAGTCCCTATAACAGATGACACGATTTAATTTTGTGGCGCTTCTAGTGATAAAAAGCAGTTGCAAATGTTGTACAAAATAATTATCACCACTACTATATCACAACATAATTATACCACTACATGGCATGCAAGCAGCCATATCACCCTGCAGCCCAAGACTGGTTGCCCACTGAAGCTAAGCAGGGCTGAGCCTGGTCAGCACCTGGATGGGAGACCTCCTGGGAAAGCTAGGTTGCTGCTGGAAGAGGTATTAGTGATGCCAGCAGGGGGTGCTCACACTGTGGTCTGTGTGGGTCCTAACACCCCAGTGTAGTGACGGGGACACTATACTGACAAAAAGCACGGTCCTTCAGATGAGACGTTAAACCGAGGTCCTGACTCTCTGTGGCCATTAAAAATCCCTGGATGCCTTTTGAAAAGAGTAGAGGTGTGACCTCGGCATCCTGGCCAAATTTGCCCATTGGCCTCTGACCATCATGGCCTCCTAACCATCCCCATATCTGCTGATTGGCTTCATCACTCTGTCTCCTCTCCACCAATAAGCTGGTGGGTGTTCTGGCGCACTATGGCTGCCGTCGCATCATCCAGGTGGATGCTGCACACTGGTGGTGGATGAGGAGATGCCCCCTGACAATGTAAAGCGCTTTGAGTGCCTAGAAAAGCGCTATATAAACGTAATGAATTAATATTACTCATTTGCACCATTAAAACATGCAACTCTTTGTTTTACTACCAAATTATATGTAATATCTAATTATCATTAATATTTCACATACTTTGGAAAGGTTTCCGTGACCTCTCACGAGATCTCGGCAAAAAGTCTCACGATTTATTTCCACAACATGATGCATGATGGGATACACTAAGCCTCGTATACCTCTCCGGAGCGCTATTGGAGATAGTGTGGATTTAGTGTGTGTTGAGGGCACTGCGCTCTGGCGTTTTTAAGATCTGGGACAGTCTTGCGCACTTACAAGGCCTCCTGAATAAAGGCCTCCTGTAGCGAATCGATGTGTTTTTGTAAGAAAAATATCCATATTTAAAACATAATAATCACTTTTCTCTAGCTTGCGCTAACAGTTGTACACGATGATGTTGGATGATGTAGGTCAAGGACGTAGGCGTAGCGCATGCACATCTGAGTCTCACGAAAACCAATGTTTGTTAACAGGAGCAAAGGAAGCAAAGTTTCCTAACTTTAGCAAAGGAAAACCAGTCTCCTCTTGGCTTATATCGATATCCTCCGACATTTTACTTTACAAATCCTCGTTTTGCGCTTCTAATTCGTGACCGTTGTTTTGTTTTGTTCTCTCCACTGCATTCCTCACTGCTGAGTAAATAATGGGCTAATTTTCTTTTTTGGATGAACTACCCCTTTAAACCAGTGATGGGCAAACTTGGCCCTTCCAGGCCACTTTCCTGCAGAGATTTGATCCAACCCTGATATGACTCACCTGCCTGTAGTCTTGAAGACAGTGATTAGCTGGTTCAGGTGTGTTTGATTAGGGTTGGAGCTAAACTCTGAAGGAAAGTGGCCTGGAAGGGCCAAGTTTGCCCACCCCTGCTTTAAACGATTCGTTCGAACGACAGATTTGTTCAAACGCGAAACCCCACTTACATTTCTATTTGTCAGTATTTGCCCTGTTTACACCTTAGATTTATGTATTTATTTACATTGGGAATGTAAGCCATGTATACATTTGTATTTATTTATGTAATTTTTATTTATTTATTTTGCACTGAGCAATCTCAAATTGAGGTTTCGGGTGCTCCAGATCCAGCAATAGGTGGCCCAGTTACCTTAAATTCTCGACAGAGTCATGATGAACACCATTCCAGGCCCTCTCTCTCTCTCTCTCTCTCTCTCTCTCTCTCTCTCTCAATTCATATTGCTTTTTTATTGGCATGACATACTTAGGTACATATTGCCAAAGCATTGTACATAGCAGAATAAAAACTAACAAAACAAAAGTATATATAATATACATCCATAAACAAACAAAACAAAAATACATGTAAAATACATCCATATATATATATTTATATAAACATTGATGGTACTACTAATGCAGATGTGTTCACTCTTTAATTCTTAGTTTGTGGCATACATTTAATAAATTTAATGCGCTACCAAAGAGGAAGTAGGTCCTTCACCAAGTAATATTCTTAATTTGGGGTAGTTCTCCTCTGGCCAGACAAAACCAGCAGTTCAATTTCAGGCTGCAGCAAAGTCACATTGTGCAGAGGACTCATCTGGTTCCTGTGGTCTTGTCCCGGTGGTCGTCTGAGACAAGGTCTTTACAGGGGATCTGTATCTGGGGCTCATCTAGTTGTCCTGGTCTCCGCTGTCTTTCAGGGCTGTGGAGGTCCTTTCTAGGTGCTGATCCACCATCTGGTCTGAATACGTACTGGATCCGGGTGACTGCAGTGACCATCTGATCTGGATACAGACTGGATCTGGTGGCTACGGTGACCTCGGAATAAGAGAGAAACAGACTAATATTAGCGTAGATGCCATTCTTCTAACGATGTAGCAAGTACATCGGGTGTTATGAGAAGTATTCCCGGTTCCGGTTGACCTAATTAATGCAGCCTAAAAATCCTTTAACGGATTTGAATATTAGAAGCGTATTAGTGTGTTATGTGTAAGCCAGGTTAAAGAGACGGGTCTTTAATCTAGATTTAAACTGCAAGAGTGTGTCTGTGTGTTATATTCCTGACTGAGACCAGATAGTCAGCCAGACTGTACTCTCTGTTGAGTTTCAGATAACATTGAAGACGACTTTGGTCTTTGGTTTGTTCTTTCCAGTGCTGTAGGCTATGTATGTCTCCTTCTCTTCATTCATAATTTCTTTGATTCTTCCGTGTTTTTCAGGGTTGGTGATATCGAGTGCTTTGTTAGTCAGATCTGACACCACTACACAAAGATGCCTTTTTTGAGCACTCCTCTTTTGTGTTTTTAGTGCTTTAAAATGAAGAGAATCCTCCGAACTAGAGTTTAAGTGGATCCAGAACTTTAGAACTCTTTTTTTAATGATTAGATTCAGGGGGAGATGGCCTAACTCGGCTCTGCAGGCGTTATTAGGTGTGTTTCTGTGCACATGAAGGATGCTTCTGCAGAACTCTACATGCAGAGCTTCTAAAGGGTGTTTGTGCCAGTCCTTATGACTGTGCCAGTCCAGATCTCGCTTCCATACAGGGCAATGGGCAGTATGACACTATCCAAAATCTTTGTCCAAATTCTGATGGGGATGTTTATTTTGAATAATCAATCTCTCTCTATCTCTCTCTCTCTCTCTCTCTCTTGCTGTTGCAGACTTTGTTAGTCAAGTGTAACGTAGTGTCACGTCAAAGCGCCCTGCCCTCCCTGCTGCCTTTCCAGTTTCCCATCATCATATGGGTGTCATGGGTCTCGGCTTCGCCCTCGGCCGTAAGCTACTGCTGCGTATCCAGGCATCAGATCATTCCCGATCGCGTTTGATCGTGACGCTGGATATATTCATTGTTTCCGGCGTGACATTGTTATTAACGATGACTCTTGCAGCTGTGCGCATTCCCAGGCAACCCCCGTCCTGAACACGCACTAACCGCTTCATTTCTTCTGTCAGAGCCGGTCAGCGGTATTGACTGTGGAAAGCTGAGCCTCGTTCATTCATACATACAGCGAAAACAGTAACTCAAAGGTCGACCAGAGCAACCGGAAAACGAAAGGATTTGATTCACACCCCATTCGTGGTTTTCGACAAGGTGAGTACGACGGTTTTTATACAGGCTAGTATATTTTTTGCTGGGCGTTCAGATTAAAAACAGAGCTCAAGGTGAATTTAATCACATTTCCGGTTGATTAAATATATAAACGTTATGGCATTTTGTTTCCATAACGTTTCCAATTCCATGCCGATTATTTGTCCATGGTGTTTATAAATCCGGGTATTTTTTTCTCCGATCCGCCGGTTTAAAAGGACTGTAAGATTGTGTCTCGTCAACAACAGATGGCCGTGATGTTTTCCATTTAAATCAGATGCAATTCGTATGATTATTGATCTATTTGTGTGACAAACAACCGCAATGGTGAGCTGTTTCAGATGACTAAACTAGGCGAAGTCCTGTAAAGGACAAGAATGAATTTACTTACAATACCTGAACTAGATCTCCCTGTAGGAAAGGAAAATTGCAAATCGGATCCCGATTTTTCTCTACTATGTCGGTTGTTTCTTCTAGACAATATTGGGAATAAATAAAGAGCTTCTCAGATGTTTCTCCTGAGGAAAAACACGCCAGTCATTTCGCGTGTCTCCTCTGGAGTTGCAGATCTCAACAATGTCTCAAACTGTGTTCATATTGCCAAAATTACATGACAGACATTCCAATATGAACTCCTATTTCTCAGACCAAATCATGTGATCTGCTATCCACATTCATTTTATAGATGTGTACAGCTATTTCTCATTTATCTGTTTAGTAGAAACATCTGAGACGAAGATCGTTGATGGAGTGTTGTTTACTTCTTTATTCAGTACATTCTAAAAAATGCTGGGTTAAATACAACCCAGTGCTGGGTTAAATAGGGACAAACCCAGCAATTGGGTTGTTTTGACCCAGCGGTTGGGTTACTACCCAGAAGGTTGGGTTAAACATTTAACACGACCGCTGGGTCAAAACAGCCCAATTGCTGGGTTTGTCCCTATTTAACCCAGCACTGGGTTATATTTAACCAAGCATTTTTTTAGAGTGTACTTGCTTGTTTTTCTACTTTTAATGAAATGTGTTAGTGATAGACTGATTAATCATGATAGACTGATTAATCAGACCCTATCTATCTATCTATCTATCTATCTATCTATCTATCTATCTATCTATCTATCTATCTATCTATCTATCTATCTATCTATCTATCTAATGCCTCCTGCACATGGCAGTCAGCCAGTGAACCTCTTCAGTGAACTAAAGAGAAGTTCTCGCCTGATTTGTTGGCGGTGTTTGGGATTATGGTTCTCCCACTCAAGATGACTCAAATCTCTAAATATTGAGTTTGCTATAAGGCATGAGTGTTTAATTCCTATTTTTGGACATCTTTAAATTTAAGAACGCCATAAACGGCGTGAATCAACTTTATTTCAACACACTCTCATGGCAACTATTTTATGTTGTGACAAATTTGTGGCTGATTTGTATAAATTCATACTAGGGATGCACCGATATGAAAATTTTGGCCGATACCGATAACCGATTATTCTTTATTTTTGAAAGCCGATAACCGATATGTTGGCCGATAAATCTATATCCAAATTGTTATATACTTTTTGAGAGCCTGATTACAAAAAAGGTCTCATCATTAAAAGCCACATCCCAAACACTTCAACATAAGCAGCCTAGTTTGAACGGTGTACATTTTAAAAATATTTTTACTCTCCCATTACCAAATTTAGTCATAAAAAAGTCTTACAAATAAATAAAATAATGCATAAATAATGCAAACAAGTCACTGGACATCATTACACATGTAAAGAATCAAAATGAATGCGCCATAGATCAATAAAACGGAATAGCCTCTGCACGGACAATAATTAAATGATTTTAATTACTAAACCATATTGTTGATGAAAATAATAAGAGAAAAATACAAGTGGTTGTTGTTATTAATAATATATCAATGATTTTGAAAAAGTAACAAATTAATACCACTGTTTTAAATAGCAGCCATTGAGCTGCAGCTCAAGCTGAAGCTGAAGAGCTGAATGAACACGGTAAACTGAAGCGTTTTGCTGGCAGCTTATTTAACTCAAGGAAATGCATCCTGAGATTAATATTAATACAACATAAACATAATATTACAACTTATATATGAAATGACAAATGACGCAGTTATTGCATGCTATAGTCAGAATGTGTGATCCTGTTGTGGATGCGCTCTTCCCATAACAACGCGCTGAAACACGGCAACTAAACCCAAAGAATTCACAACGTTTTATTATAATAATGTTCTCATTAGAATGTTATATACATGACATTCCCAATCATAGTTATTAATGTTGTGCACTGCTGTTTGGGCTGCGTGTGCTGAGCTAAAGATGATCACTGGTAAACTGAAGCGCTCTTTTAACTTAACCAAACGCATTCTATATGAGATAAATCAGATATACATCAAATAAACACAATATTACAATGTACAATTGCACAAAAGGCTGCAAACGAACAGCGCGCATCTGAAGTGTCTCTGAAGGAAATAATGCATTATTTATCGGCTTTAAGATATCGGCCAAATTTTCTTATCAGGCCGATACCGATAACAGAAAAAATGAGCCGATATGGGCCGATACCGATATGGTGGCCGATATATCGTGCATCCCTAATTCATACAATCTCGTTTGTTTTCTGTTCACGCCCCATTGAAGGTTATGTTTAGGCGTGGACCTTAATGCTTAAATGTTTCGAAAAATTGTATGTATTCCTATGAATCACATTGTACAAATTCAACTTGTAAAATATTATTCTCGTGAGATTGGGTTGGTCATTTTTAGGCTTTTTCCGACATGTGCATGGGATGAATTGTGATGTCCACTAATGTAGTCATGTTTTTTTTCTCTCCATATAGTGTTTTTTTTTTATGAGAAACACCTTGCATCATTTTACAGTAGATTAAGGGGCGTTACATTTCCAGATATTCTTGGTACAAAACTGTAAGTCATGGGTTTAGAGCCTTAGAAATCATATCAGGGGGAGTTTGAGCATAGAGCTGAGCTATAATTTGTTAGTTTACCACTTCTCATCTTGGTAGAAAGACCTCGCCCACACTTGCTGTCCTCAGGGTTTCGTTTTCCCAGCCTCCTCGTTCTTCATGGCAAAATGCACTTAGGTAAGTGAAAGTGAGAGCGTGGTTTGTACTAAACAAATCGTCCCTGGTTTGAATGTTTGGAAGGCTACACTCTTAAAAATAAAGGTTCTCAATTTAGCATCTATGGTTCCATAAAGAACCTTTTAGTTCTGTAGAATCTTTCCATTACACAAAAGGTTCTTTATAGTGAAAGAATGGGTTATTAGAGTAAATGTTTTTTAGACTTAGAAAAAATGGTTCTTTTAAGAACTGTTCACTAAAAGGTTCTCTGGAGAAGCCAAAATGGTTCTTCTATGGCATTGCTGTGAAAAACAAGAGTACACTCAATAAAGATTCTCTGTTGGCATTAATAGTTCCATTAAGAACCTTTTTAAATCCATGGAATCTTTCCATTCCACAAAAGGTTCTTAATAATGAAAAGGGGTTTTTAGATTATTCATGTTCTTTACACCAAGAAAAAAATGGTACTTTAAGAACTGTTTACTAAAAATTGTTGTTCTTCTGAACTTTTATTTTTAAGAGTGCATCTTTAACCATCAACCTCACTTGAACGTTTAGCACATCATCTTTGGTTTGAGAACTGGAGCACAACAGTGGCTGGTAAAGCAGCCATTTTTGTTTTTATCTTTGGGTTTCAACTTCTCTGTTGACTTCCATTTAATTTTAATCAATTCCAGGTCTGTAGTTGTACATCCTGGTTATCCCGGGCACTTTGCCATGTTGAGTCTTTGCCAAAAAGTCTCAGTGTCAATGTTAATCTTAGGGTTTAGCAGAATGGATTTGCAGTGCAAATGTGATTTTTTTCATTGAAGTAGGTGTGTGTATGTCCCCACCACCACCCTTTTTATTGTCCGTCAGGTGAAGATTTAAAGGTCCAGTCATTTTGAAAAGTAGGCTAATAGAATGCATTTACTTAAAAAGCTGATTTGAGGAATCATCCATGTCTGTAACAATTTTTTGAGTTAGGGGTTTGTTCGAATCCCAACCCAATAAGCACCACCAATAATGAAATCTAACACAAGACTCAGAACTGAAACACTGTAATGAGTGAGCATCTGATAACTTTAAAGTATTCCCTCAAATCTGTTGTACTAGTGTTTATTCCAATGAGCTGTTTATCCTATAGTGATTTGGAACAATTAGCTAATGCATCCGTCATCAGTGTGTTCATCTGTTGTTTCTCTGCATTGCCCGTGGCTGTTGATGGTCCTTATGGGTGCTTTCACGAGGAGGGACTGATGCTCTTAATTAGACGTGCTCATAACACCATTGAGGGTTCTTGAAGAAGGGGCCCAGAGCCCATGAAGTGGCCTTAATGCCTTTCGGAATTCTGTGAATGCCTTTCAGTGAAAGCCATGGATGTTTAAGTCAGCTTCAAGTAAGATCATTGGAAAAGCGGCCTTTTAAGGTAAAATTCCTGTTAATTGGTAACGTGCCGATGCAGTGGGGCCTTTGTCCTCCCTTCACTGGGACCCTCTGTCCGTGAAGAGTGATACACTGGGCTTTGGGCTCCGTTATGAATGGCACGCTTGTTTCTGTTGACTGCCTTTGAGAATTGGCATGCAATAAAAAGTGGCTTCATCTTTTGAAATGCTATTATGTGAATGAGTGGCACGATTAGTCGAGAGAGGGAGAACCAGAGGACAACAGAGAGACTCCCTTAGACTGAAATTTTGGGAAGCCTTTTGACCAAATTATCACTTGAGCCTCTAAGATGTATGAGAGAGATGGATTATTTCGTATCTTACTCAAATCTCCCATAAATGTTAATCTTTCCATATAAAATAATTTTACATATACATGTTTTTTTTCATGATGGTAATTATTGGAATGTTTTGAATGTATGGTGAATAAATTCACTTTTTTTGGTTTTGCAATTTGATTGTGTCTAATTGTCAAAAATATTTAATTG